TCTCCTCTCCTCTCCTCTCCTCAGCTCTTCCCCGCTTCCCCTCTCCCCCCCCTGAGCCTCCCGGCCATTCATCTCTCCCGCCGTCTCCCCTTCCTGCGTCTCAAGGCTGTCCAGGTACACAACCCTAACGAGCATGCTCACCAAGTCAGCTTCCCGCGACAACACAGCGACGGTCATTGGCCTCGGCCACGCGTCTCGTGCCGCATGCGGCATCATCGCACCGACTATCGGCGGCTTCATCATGCAGCAGGCGGGGGCCCGGGGAGTGGGGCTGAGCTGCCTTGGGAGCATGGGGTTGGCCCTTTCCTACTGGCAGCTCTCCTCTAAGCACCTCACCTGGGGCGCCAAGAAGGGAGAAAAGGAGCTGTAAGAGGATGCAATACCCCCCCCCCTTCCTGCTCCTGCTCCTGCTCCTGCTCCTCCTGCTCCTCCTGCCTCCTCCTGCACCTGCTCCACCCGCCGCTAACTCGTCGCAGGTGACTCGCAAGTCCAGGCCAAGACCACGAGGCGCACCCACATGTCTCCCCAGCTGACGACTGAAAGTTGTCGATGGTCCTGGCCTGGACCAGGTTGAAGCAAGCGCGCGATGGCAGGGAGGAGGAGGAGGAGGAGGAGGAGCGACTGCTGCAAGGCAGGCTACTTGACCTATTGCGCGAAGGCAAGAGATGTTCACATGAATTCCTTTAAGATCGCTATAAATAAGACTAACACCCTCATCCCCCCCGTCCCCCTCCCTCCCCCTCCTTACCCCGCTAACTCCCCCAGTTGTCAAAGACTCGACCCGTTCTACCACAGTTGACACCGTCGGATCGGAGCCATAGGAGACCCAGCAGGGCACTGGAAGGCCTCTGTGAAAGCGTCAGCTACTTGCTCTGACACCGACTGTCGCTCACCTGCGAAGGGCGCGAACTGACTGAGGGCTCCGAGAACTCTGAACTTGGCGGGGGCGTGAGTGTCGGTGAGCACGGAGTTAACTGCGGACTTCTTGCGGACGACGGAGCACCAGGTCTGCCGACAAGCTCAGGAGAGGAAGACAGGCAGGAAATTGGGAAAGTCAGTCACAGTACCTGTGCGAAGGCCGTGAAGAACATGCGCTTCTCATACGAGCGCCTCTCCTTGGACGTGATGAAAGCTTCGTAAGCGAACTTGAGGCCGCCGGCGTCTGCTATGTCCTCTCCCAGCGTCAGCTTGCCATTGACATGTCTGTTAGCGACGGCATAGCCGTCGAAGAGATTCGCGATACAGCTGCTGCGCTCTGCAAAGTTGTGAACAGTTTCCTGGTCCCACCAATCGTGGAGCTCGCCGCGAGCATCAAACTGCCTCCCGTTGTCATCGAACCCGTGACTCATCTCGTGCCCCAGCACGCAGCCGATGCTGCCGAAGTTCCGGGCTTCCGGGTACGTGGCATCGAAGAAAGGAGGCTGCAGTATGCCAGCTGGGATCCACAGGCCGTTGTTGTTGGGGCCGTAGAACGCGTTCACGTCGAGCGAAGAGCTTCCTCCCCACTCTCTTCTGTCCGGCTTTTCAAGAATCCTTCCGAGGTCACGCTGGATCGAGAATCTGCTGACGGTCATGTAGTTGACAAAGAAGTCTGGGCCCATGTGCCCGTCCATGTCGAAGGTTTCCACCGGCCAGTGCGTCTTCCCCTCCTTGTCAGTGGGCCAGGCAACCTGGAAGAACATCTTCCTCAGCTTCTCCTGCGCAGCCTTGCGGTCCTCAGCCGACATCCAGTCCTCGTGCTCAAGGTTCTGCATGAATCTGCCGCGAATCTTCTCGAGCATTTCAAGTGCCGCCTCCCTGTTCTCTTGGTGGAAGGCCTTGTCGGTGTACAGCTTCGCAGCAGGCCAGGGGGTGTTGGAGGTGGTGCTGTAGTAGCACTTGCGAGGACGAGGACTCTTCTGCGAGACGCCATAGAGATCGTCGTTCATCTTCACCATGAGGTCAATGAAATCCGAGGACAGGTACACTGCTGAGTTCCTGATCATCTTCCACCGCATCTCAGCCTTCAAGGCTTCCAGTGGGACCTCCTTGAGGATCTTCTCCAGCACGGGGAAATAATCCTTGCTTCGAATGATGAGCGTTATGCCCCCATGCTCGCCAACCTTCATCAAGTCCGTATGATCCGCACTACAGGCCTTCATAGCGCCATCCGGTGGGGCGGTGCACGACGCCATGAGCTTCAACCAGGTTCTCCACGGCCATGAGGGGGTCAACTCTTCGAACGTCTCCCACGTGGTCGGCGTCCCGTGATCTTTCCTTGCCACGTCACGGTCAGTCGAGCCCTGAGCCATGCGGGTCTCGAGGTCGAGGATCATCTTGGCTTCGGCTTCGGCTTCTTCCCTCCCGATCATCCTGAAGAACTCCGTGACGAGGCTCACCAGAGAATCCCTGTGCTGCTTCATGACGTCAGAGTCTTCGAGGTAGTAGGACTTATCGGGCAATGATAGGGACCCCTCGCTCAGCTGGAATGCCTTTTGGGACGAGTCACGGGGATCCGTGTCGATGAACCAGCCGAAGAAGTTGTCCATGTTGTGCTTGTTGAACTCTGATGCAACACGAACCAGAGATTGCATGTCGTGGACTTCATCGATCAATCGAAACCATGGCTCCATGGGCCTTGCGCCTTGTTTCTCCACTCTGTCTTCATCCATGCATGATCGGAAGAACTGCCCCGCGGTCCCGTCGTCAGCTCTAAGGAGATCAACCTCCGCGTGCCGGATCGACTTCTCTGCATGGTCCCAGGAAAACGCAAGCCTCGACTGGTACTTGGGGATATTCCCGCGATTCTCCTTTACCCAGTTGCCGCAGGCGAACTCGAAAAAATCTTGGCAAGGGTTCACGCTGAAATCAATGTTGTTGCGCATGTCCTCGGGAAAGTTGACAGTTTCCAGCCGCGATGCCACAATGCTGGAGCTCTCGGCCAGCTTGTCTTCGCCGCTGTTCTGCTCCACAAACCAAACGTCCTCCAGCCCTCGAACGAACTTTCTGCCCTGGTCACCAGAAGCCATGGCGTTGAGGAACTGGTTGTTGAGGTCTTCATCCGCATTCTCCACCAAGATCATCTCATCCCTTCTTTGGCTCATTACCATGACGAGCACAAGTCCGAGCGCGCAAGTCGCGCATGTTCCCCCCGCCGCGTACCAGACTTGTCTGGCCCGCATGGCGACTCTTCGCTCAGTGACCCTCATCCCCCCAATCCCACTTGACTTTCTGCTTGGCCAGATGCTTGGCAGGCTTTCAGAGTCCGGCGAACCGGCGTCTATTCCCGGACTCCGAGGCTCGGGAGTCCGACGCCGGCCGGGCTGCCGACGCTGGCCGGCCGGGCTGACTCAGTGAGCCTCCCGGGACGCGGCGGCGGGGCGGCGGGCCCCGCGCCGCGCCGCGCCGCCGCGCTGACAGGCTGAGGGGCCTCTCTACTCGACTCACTGAGTCAGCCTCGGACGGTGACCAGCTGGGCCTGATGCATCCCGGCGGCCGCCGCCGCTGAGTTGAAGGCTGTCACAGGCTCACCGGCCGAGCGAGAGCCTGTCGGAGGCTGCCAAAAAAACTCTAAGTCACGGTGACTTGTGACAAGTTGTGACCGTTCCGAAGTTCAACGGTTCAACTAAGTTCCGGGGCCCCGGGCTCAGCGGCCGCTCAGCTGCCAGTGCCACCCGGCGGGCCAAACTATTCCGAGCCGCGAACTTGGAAGTTGACCGGGCTTGGAGGAAAAGAGACTAAACTGAACTTCGGAACGGGCCCCACGGTGACGCCGGACGGTACAACTCGTGGGCCGCTGCCAGGCCCGGCTCACCGCGGCAGGCCGCGCCCGGAGCTTCAGGGGACGCAGAGAACAAAAAGAATAGCCATGTGCTTTCATAGCGTGACATCGGTGCGGTTCGAACGCACGCCTCCGAAGAGAGCAGCGCCTAAAGCTGCCGCCTTAGACCACTCGGCCACGATGCCAATGAACCATAACGCACGTGAGGGTGACTACAATATTTATACTGTAATTCCCATATTCAGTTAAGAAGATCTTCATAAAAAAATATTGTTTATTCACTCAATAGTATTTAACTTTACAGTTTATTGTTGAAAGATTTGTTTTGTGGCAATATTCATCGGCCATGGCTTTGCTTGCTGCAATGGCAGCCTCAGCACCGCACTAGTGTCGCTCCCCTCTACCCCGCCCCCCCTCCCTTCCCTACCTCATTTTTTACTCGTCTCTTCCTCACTGCTCTCTTTCCTTCCCTCTACGCATTTGTCATCCTCATCACAACACACTTTACCCATAGGAGGCGGGGTTGATTTTTTCGACCAAGGTCCCCTTGGTTCGTTAGTTCAGGACACCAAAGTCCAGTCTTGAATGAATGATGCACAAGTATTCTGACACATTCCGGTAAGTTCTAGAGAGAAAGCATGTTTGATGGCCACAACGTGTTTTGGAGTGTCTTGCATTGAGCAGTGAAAGTATACAAAAACACATGAAAGTTTTGCATGAATTATGCTGTTTGCTGGAGAAAACAAAGGGAAGAGCCTCAAGAATCAAATAGCGATAGCTGATGCAAGAACAATTTGTGTTGCCATAAATTGTGACAACTACGATCCAAGCCAGCATAATTTGGGCGATGGTCTGATGTGATGCTTTGGGGGGGGTTCTTCTTTCGTTTTCCTCGTTTCTCCATGCAACGAGTTGAACATTGTCTTCTGTGTGCTCCATAGATAGTGAAGAATATACATGTTTGCTTATGTTTGATTGTGCGAGCGTAGCCATATCTCGTCATCTACACCTTCAACAAGGTGGATTGTTTATGCTTGCCTTCAATTTTGCTGCGACCACTCATCCCAAGACGCAAGGAAAACGAACCTTGATAGAGCATCGTACATGACATAAGTTGAACAAAAAGAAGCAACGACCGTTCGTTTGAAGCACACTGACAGCTAAACAGTCCAGAAGATGGGGGCAACTTTGTATTCAAGGCCTTGTGTTTCAGTATTGGGATCATATCAATTACAGGCACAGGCACGTTCAAATTACGTCTGAGAAATTGGTATCATATCTGATTTCATTATAAACTAGTCTACCGATAGATGACACTAAGTGTAACATACGCGAAGATCGCCTTTTAAGCCATCCCAGCAGCACCTGGTGGGACAGTGTTGTTGGCCACGTTAACAGCACTGGCCGTGTAGGCGTTGCCGCTAACATTACCGCCGGTGTAGATTGACTGTTCCTTGGGACCAGACTGCGCAGAAGCATTGCTGGTCCTTGTAGCAACCAAGTAGATGATGACAAGGATAGCAAGGCCCAAGACTCCACCCAGCACAGAGGAGATGATGACCAGGTTTCTTGCATCCCACCAGTCAACCTTGGAGTCACACTCGAAGTCCGGCTCACCGGTTCCATGGGTGCTGCACATAGCGGTGGGGCCACCGGAGTGATAGACGACCCTTTCTCCGTGAGGCTGCAAGGGGCGGTAGCTTCCGAACTTTGAGATCTTCTCGGAGGGCTTTGAAGGAACTGCAAGAGCCCAGAACTTGTCCATGGTGGCCTTGGAGACCGTGCGGGGAGTCTGGAGCACAACCCAAGTGACAATCTCATTGCAAGTTGGGGTTGTCAAGGAACCCGCGTAGGAATAGTAACTGTCAGCCGTGTTGATCATGTTGTTCAGATTGATTGGAACGTTCATCACAACACCTTCGGAGGTCGCGCGGCTAGCCTCGTTACCCATCTGTTGAAGAGCAGCTGGCTCGATGCCCTGGTCCATCTGGAAGAACTGGCCAATGACGAGGAGAGCGTGAGGCTTGCCACTCGAGACGGCGTCCGTCAGACTTGTGTACTTAGCGTTATAGTGCACGAAGTGGATCTCAAGGGGATACTGCACGCCCTGCATGAAGTGCTCACTTCCCTCGTTGGCAGCCCTGCCCCAGTGAAAGTGAGCTTGAGCAAGCTTCCACTCAGAGTCCACGTTGTCCGGCTCTCTGCCAACCAGGTACGACAACTTGCCAGTCTTGAGGACAGGAGCCTTGTCGATGACGTTGATCTGGATACCGGCACCCGTGGTCTGAATCTTGAACTTGTTCGCCATATTCCAGTAAGCGGGATCGAAGGTCAGCGTAGGAGGGGTGGTCGAGAACGCCTTGGCACCGCAGAGATCGATAGGAGACTGCTGCTTGCCAGAGCAGGAGCCAGCCCAATGGTAGGGACCCTCCTTCTCGTCGCATCTGTCCCAGTTGTAGCCAGATCCGCCAGCTCGTCTCGCCTCCAGGCCGGAAGCGGATCCAGGTGCAGAGGCAACTGCCTGTGCCAGTAGCAAAACCGGGAGAACAGCACGGATCATCTGCATCAACGTGTTAGGATTTGTTGAGGTTGTCAAGAGGATTTGACAAGAATGAAAAGCCTGGGGACTCTGACTACAGGGGAGCGAGCTGAGTGGCTTTGTTATCTGCCTGCTGTAAGATTTTTGGATCTAGCAGCTCTCTCTGCATGAAGGGAGTCTTCGCATGATGTTGTTCGGGTCAAACTAATCTTGATTCACCTAGTGTGTTCCTCGGCATCAAGCAGGATCACGACAGTACCCTACAGTTTGATCTTTGGTTTTTTTTGTCTCTTCCTCCTCTTGTCTTCTGAATGAGCTCTCTACTGCTGTCACCTCCTCCCTCTTCCCCCCCCCTCCTCCCCCCTCGATGCTCCCCCATCTCGCTGTCTACTTCCGCTGCCCACTTGAACTGACCCACACTGTCACATCTCGCTTATATCAGATTCGCCCCCCCCTACCTAAGTTTTTTTTATGCCACCCACCCACCTACCAACCCACCAACCCACCCACCCACCCACCCACCCACCCACCCACCCACGAGTTTCTCTTTTGTTGTGAAACACCCCTCCCATCTACCTTCTTCACCCCTCTCTTTTCAGCAAGGCAATGGGCCGATAAGGTACCCCTGCAGGCTTCAATGATGGCAATCACACTACCCCACCCCATGTGTTCATGCGTTGCATCCAACGGTCACCTCGAAGATCAGTGATACCCTACGGCGCGGGTCAACTATCGGACTTTGGAGGGGTAGTGCGGAATACTTCGCCAGGTTGACTTCTTGGAGGGGTGGGTGGGAAGAACAGGGGTACTGGCGCCGGGGGAGTTCCGATTCTACTACTGGCTATGGACCTGCCCCTTCAAGGCAGTGAAATCATGGGGATTGCGACCGGTGGTAGGGTACTCGGCCAAGTTAACAAGTTGGGGACCCCCAGGATCGTACCCCACCCCACCTCATGTTCTGGAATCCGCTTTAGTGGGGTCCCGTAACCCTCGGGAGGCTTGAAGGGGGTGGGCACAGGAAAATGTCCGAACAACCTCTTTCAAAAATTCACCAAAAAGTCGGCCAGACGGCCACCCCCCAACCCCCCACATAATCACCAACACCCCCCACCCCCTCCCGGGGCCGCCACTCCCCCCCCACTTGGCGGCTGAGGCATCACTCTTTACAGTTATCATATGGAAAATGTTTGCTCCCCCCACCCTCCTACCAGTACCCTACCGTACTGGCAACTCCCCTACCCCACCCCCGGGGCATCCGCCCTCCAACCCGTGAACTTGAGTCAATATATTGGCAGCAAGTAGTCACAACTAGGCTCAGTCGGAGTCAAACGGACCCCCTCCCACCCCCACCCCCCCCCGCCTCCACCCTCGTGCAAGAGAGTGACATGGAAAGGGAGGGTCATCAGTACTGCCGGGCACCCCTCACATTCGATGGGATGATTCGTGAGTATTTTTAACTTAACTTTGAGTAAACTGGAGTACCACAGTATGAGTAGCTGTGAACCGATCCGGGGGGGCCCTCCGAGGGCCTCTGAGGCAGGTGACCGACTCTGTGACGTTCACTGCCGAGGTCCGTGAAAGTAGCCAACTTGCTGTCTGCTTCGGATGCTGAAAACCGTCAAGTTGAACCGTCATCATGATGTAGGAACAGGCCCCCGGTGAGCCTGCCAGGCTGAGCGCGGCAATGAGCGGACGCGCTGAAAACACCGTCGCTTTATTGCCAGAGGTCAAAGGAGTCAAGTTCAAGTGATGGCCGGTCGAGTCACCCCGGGTAGGCATATAGGCTTTTTAGAGTATTTACCGAAGTACACTCCGAGCCTCGGAGGCCCATAAACTTACTACCCACTGCCGCCTCTCGCCTCAGTGTGTCTTTACAGAACCGAACGGGCCCGGGGGCCGGGACCCGCTGGCCGCACTGGCTTGAACTTGAACTAAGTTGTGCCACCGTGACTCGGACCGGGTCCGAAGCCTTGAAGCACTGCGGGTGTCCCGGGGCCGGGGCCAAGCGGACTCGCGCGAGTCATGCGGCAGTGCCCGCCGAGGGCTAGTTCAGTGTACGGTAGTCTAGACTCATTATTAAGAAGAAGTTCACCGGTAAAGTTCGAATCAAAAGTCATCATATCGTTCAATCAGTCAAAAAAGAATAAAAGTCAAAATAGGAAGAGACGTTTCCGGCGAGCAAGATGATTGACAAGCAAACAATCAGCAAGAAGTCCAAGTCAAGTGAAAAGCTAATCAAAATTCACACGAACTCCTGAGTCGCCGCCTGTGCGTTCGCCATGCTGCCCCTCACCCGTCATTCTCTCTCCTTCTACCACTCCCCTCCTCCTCTCACCTGTCTCTCGCCCCCAGCGACCGCAGGATGTCCTCCACGTCAGGCTGTCCACCCATCCATCAGTTCACACCGAAGCCTCGGGTCCCCTTTACCCCCCTCTTCCCCTTCCCTTACCCCCCCCTCCTCCCGTCCCTCCCCTTCCAGTACGATTCCTTTCTCCGATACCCCTTTCACCTCCCCTCTCTCATATCTCTCCTCCCCACCCCTCCCCTGTCTCACATGTCCGTTCGCCAGCCGTAGCGGCGTCTCCCCGTCTTGAGTCTCCGCGTCAATGTCCGCCCCCGCCTGCGCACACCCCGTCCCCATCAGCCTCCTGTCCTCCCTCTCCTCCCTCCCTCACCGCTACGAGGATCTCCACGATCTCCTTCCTCCCGCTTGATGCCGCACAGTGCCTGCCCCACGCCTCAACCCCTCCTCCCCCCTCCTCCCGGGCTACTCACAGCGCCTGCCAGCCCCTTTTGTTCCTCGCTTCCAGCCTAGCGCCCTCCTTGATCAGCCGCCGTACCTGCTCCCCCGACACGCCCGTCACCGTCTCCTCCCTCCGCCCCTCTCTCGCGTCCTCGTTCTCGCCCTCCCCCTTCTGATCCTCTACCGCCACACCTCGTCTGTCTTGCCCGCTGACGCTGCTGACCGCAAAGCCTGCCTGACCGTCAGCTCGTCGTCTTCTCTTCCTCCACCCTCCTCTACCTCGTCCTTGTCATCGTCTTCGTTCGGCATCCGCTGGTATCCGCTGTCCGTCGACCCTGGGATCGACGACCCGAGAAACATGATCCCCATGCACTGCCCAGTCGCTCTCTTGTCAGATCCTCCTCCTCCTCCTCCTCCTCCTCCGTGCAGCGCCTCCCTCGCCTCCCTCCTCTTCATACCATCACGCAGAGCGTCATGAAAAACGTAATCGCAAGCAAGATGACGTTGATCTGCCGTCGCCTGGTTACTCTCGGCGATGTCCCGCCTCCTCCCCCTCTCTTCCTCCTGCTCCTCTTCCCTCCTCCCCCGCGTCTCCTCTCCTTCTTCCTCCTCTCGCCTTTCCTGCTCTCGTTTTGTTCCTCTCCGTCGCCTCGTCCTTCCGTTTCCTTACCTTGAACAGCAGCGCCAGATCCCAGAAGCTGCTCTCGAAGTACGTCCAGCAGTTGTTGCTGATCGACGCCCAAAGCCACATGCCCCACACCGAGATGCCCAGGTTCACCATCGCTAGCGCAAACTGCCTTCCTCATTAGCCTGCTCTCCTCCCCCTCCCCCTCGCGTCCCCCGTCCCGTTTCCTCCCTTCGCTCTGCCCATGCCGCCCATGCCGCATCCTCTACCTGCAGGATCGACGCTCCTTCTCTGTTGTTCCTCGTCAACGAGATGATGAACCCGATCAAAGGCATGATCACCACCTGCACACCGTCAGAGCCAGTGCCCTCTCCTCTCCGTCTCTCCTCTTGCCCTCCTTCCATCTCTTCCTCTCCCTCTCGTCTCCCTCTATTCCTCTGACCGCTGTGAGACAGAAAGCCCAGATGTTGTAGCTCGCCCCGCACGCGCTCGATGTAGACCTGCACCCCTTACAGTCAGCCCTCCCCCTCCCTCCTCACCCAACCCCTTCTCCCTCTCCTCCCTCTCCTGCTTCCCCTCCTCCTCCCCTCTTCCTCCCTCCCTCCTTCCGCTCGCTCGCTCTCTCCCTCCTCCTCCTCGCTCGTGTCACTCGCCCGAAGGTCACGAAGATGGTCACGAGCGCCCAGATGATGTACGCGATCAGCAAGCTCAAGCAGCAGCACACGCAGCACAGCATGAGGGTCGCAGGCCCTGCAGCAAGCGTCACGCCTCTCTTCTGCCTCCCTCCTCCCTCCCCTACCGATGATCGAGCCTTCGGACCCTTCGCCTCTCAGGCTCTGGAAGGGATCACCTGCCAGATGGTCCATCAGTCCCAGCTGAGCCAACGACGGAATGTCGCATGCGAGCGGCTGATCCATGCATGACAGCCGCCGTCAGGACACGAGAGGAGGGAGGTCTCGACCAGACTCGCAGCATCGCTCTCCCACCATGAGACAACACAAGGGGGCGAGCACCAGGAAGACGCGAGGAGAAGATCAAGGTGCAGGTCAGAAGAAGCTCAAGGAGAAGAGGAGCAACGAGGGGGAGCAGGCAGGCAGACGGGCGTCAAGAGCATGATGGAAGCAGGCAGACA